AGTGTTAACTCTCCACTTTCGGCTGGAAAATTACCTCTACCTGAGAAATGTATGAAATGTAAATGTTTTCTCTTGTATAATTCACTTTATGATCACAGGTTGGAGGGTTTGAGAAAGTGTATGAAATTGGTCGCATATTTAGAAACGAAGGCATTTCAACACGTCACAATCCTGAGTTCACAACCATCGAGGTAGTTCGGGATATGACTTCTTAATTATCTGCATCTCTTGGGATTCCAAACTCTTAAATGGTTCCCTGATCCATAGTAGTTTTAGCTTTGTATAGATGTATGAAGCTTATTCAGACTACCAAAGCATGATGGACATGGCAGAATTAATCGTTACTCAATGTGCAATGGCAGTTCATGGGAAGCTAACAATTGATTACCAGGTGAAGATGCTCTGACATCACAGCTAGTATGTGGTTGTGAATCTGAATTCTATGTTGGTTGTGAACTTTGAGAAATTGAGTTGTGATTGCTCTGTGCAGGGAGCAGAGATTTGTCTCGAGCGGCCTTGGAGGAGAGAAACCATGCATAATCTCGTTAAAGAGATAACGGGAATCGATTTTAGTGAGCTAGGGGAAGATCTCATAAATGCCAAAGATGCAGTTCTGCTGGCACTTCAAGACGTGATTGAGCCCAAGGACAAATCTGGAATCGGAGCTTGCTCTTCTCTGGGCCATCTTCTTAATGAGGTGAAGCTTCTTCAGTGGACACTTTACTATCAAATCTGCGAATTTATGTGCTGAAATCAATTCGCGTTTCCCAGGTTTTTGAAGTTGTTGTAGAGCCAAAGCTTGTGCAGCCCACATTTGTCTTGGACTACCCAATCGAAATATCTCCCTTGGCCAAGCCACATCGCGGGTAAAGTGATTCTCTAGAGCTCTGTTTCCTGGCAATGACTCGATTTTTACCTTTTCCCCCCATACTGTCACCATGTTTATGAAAACCTTTTGAAGTGTATATGGCGCTTTTTTGCAACAGCAATGGAGGTTTGACTGAAAGATTTGAGCTTTTCATCTGTGGCCGTGAAATGGCAAATGCATTCTCTGAATTGACTGATCCTGTGGACCAGGTAATGGGATAATGAAGTCTTCCACATTCCCGCAGTTTTGTGTCTTCTTGAATAACATTCTACAAAATAAAATTTTAATTATCTTTGTGTACACTGGATCATAAAAGATTACTGCTTGATTTAAAATATGGTAGAGGATGCGGTTGGAAGAGCAAGTAAGGCAGCATAATGCAAAGAGAGCAGTGGCTGCACCAGAAGCTCCTGAAAAGAACGCAAAGAAAGATGATAATGATGATGACGAGTCGTATGAGGTGACCCTTGACGAAGACTTTCTCACTGCCCTGGAATACGGAATGCCTCCTGCTTCGGGAATGGTACTGATATCTATTTTCTCTCTTCTATACAATTAGAGTAATAGTAGCACATTAGTCAGTTGACAGGCTAATATTGTTTATAACATGACCGGACTTATATGCTCAAGTACATATATCGTTTCACTGTTTTTGTTTCTTGTTTCTTTTAGGGGCTTGGAATTGACAGGCTGGTGATGCTGTTGACGAACTCCGCGAGTATAAGAGACGTCATTGCCTTTCCTGTTCTGAAAGTTCAGCAGTAACACTTATGCCGAAAGTGGTAATGCATGTTGTAGCTTTTAGCATTCTTTTGTATCTTTTTGGTGATTTCTCCAGCAGAAAGTTAGAAGAAGGATATGTTACAAACGTAATTAGATACCAAAACAAATTCAAAGTGATTTTATTCTTGATGAGTGCTT